GGCAAAAGCGGGTCCAACCCGTTACTAGAGTGGTGTATCTAATAAAGTGGACGGTGAGTGTATATGTGTATAATTTTTTTTTATCAGAGTTTTGTTGATTTGTTTGTAGAATAATCACTGGTTACCCAGTTTTATGAAGGTAACTTGTTCTGCAGGTTTCTCAGCTGCTTTGTTACAATGGTATAAAGTAGAATTCTGGTATTCTGCTTCAATTTAATTTTATTGTTTTAATGGGACAACCTGGTTTCCAAAAATCAAAAAATAATATCAAAGACAAAACTATTTAATTTGGTATGTGAATGTATTTAAAGTTGGCAATGAGATTTAGAGAATGGTACCAGGGACGCCACCTGAAATCTTACCTAGGTTGCTAAATTAGCTCAGTTTCCTAAAGGCCCTGTCACACTAGACAACTTATACCAACTTATGAAAAATGTTTTATGTCTAAATTGCAACTAAGTTATATATTTGATCAATTTGTTATTACTACATTATGTACACGCCGAAAAGAAGATTCCTGTTGATTTTTTTAATTCCATCTTCAACGTAGCCGTCTTTAAAATGTTCATTAAGTTGTCTAGTGTGACAGGGTCTTAACTTGTGAAAATGTTACAAAAAGGAGAACAAACGCTTGACAGACGAACAAACTGTTTGAATGGAGTGCGCGCCCAGTTACAAAAATTGGGAGGCGCCGTAACTCCATGCGGGGACAAAGAAAACATCTTTATATTTAAGAAAAGTGCCCTAATACACATGATTTTACCCATTTTGTCACATAACTGGCCTTCTTTTCTTTTGAATTTGTCTCAGCCAAAGTAAAACAGGAAGTGACATCAAAGGGTAACTCAATAAAATAAAATCCTTGGGTCTTTGTTTATTAAAATAATATCATTTAAACTTTAACTCTTCTTCATCTCTCTTTGATAGAAACTCAAAATAATGTAAAGAAACAGATTCTTCTCTGCAGTCGGTGTTGTTAGCCATTGTAGCAATGCTGTGTTTACATGCAGACATTCCCCTTTGACATCACTTCCTGTTACTTCACATGCAAATATCTCAACAACTGTTTATCTCAGCGACGTCAAATTTGTTTTGCGATTTGATATCAATGTTATCTTTCCAAAAAATGCATTCGTGTTTGTCTCAAAAATTGGATGTCACAGGCACTTTAAACCCTGCCTAATAACAGTGATAGCACAAATCTTTCAGTCCACCCACCGCCCTGACTGACCTCCAGGGTCAAGTTGACAAACATGATTGTTTCAGCCACGCAAAATGTTTCCTCCCCCACTCTTCAGTGGTTGTTTCTCAAATGAACAAGAATAACAAAAAGTTGAAATGGCAAAAAGGCAAAATTCTGTTTTACAGTAAAAGTATAAAATTATTTTTAAAGAAATGTCATCCCACAAACGACAAGTAATCAAACACAGTCAAGTTAAAATTTGGACACCCCTCTGATCCCTCCCTCAGAGAAGACATTTGATATCTTCTAAACTGATAACAGGATTAGTTTCAGCTTTAGTGAACAGATTCAACTTTCTGTTACACTATTGTTTGTGTCTCTGTTATTCTTCAGCTCATATAACACTTATTAGGTTATGTTCTGTTTTATTACGACAGTAGTTTGAAGTTCTAGGAGCTGCGACCCATTTTATTTGAATTAGCTTACTTAAACATCTTTTCACCATGCAGCAGTAGAGTGACTCAACAGTTCTGCTTATGTGTCTGATCAGGAAATGACTGGTTTCAAGGCTTGAAGTGTTTAATAATTAAAGAGGATCTTTTTTCTCTTACATTAGCTAAACATTGCTGAGAAACAGAAATACAGCCTGAGAGAGGTGCTTGTGTAGTTAGTTTTCTGATAGGTTATCATTGACTTGACTGTGGGTCACATGCATTCAGCGAGCGGTGCTAATTATCAGGTCAGTGTGTTGKTTGGGAACGTACTGTATTTGCTCCTTTTTTCTGCATTCCCCAAAATGAGATGAAGTAAAGTGAAGCGTTGAAGTGAACCTCGCTGTTAGCAGCGTTCTGAGAAAAGTCCTGTGATTTTCTTATGTTTCTCCTCTAATCTGGAACAGCTGCTCTYCCTGTTTCTTGCCCTGTCTTGCTTGGTTACAGATGATGTCGTCACCAGATTATTCAGTTTGAGGAAAGCAGCTCAGTACGTTCAGACTTTGCTGCTGTATTTTAACGGCATCATTAACACTGTGATTAGCTCTAAAAGTGTTTAGATACCAGAAAGTGGTTTTGTCTGTGTTTCTTTTTTTTTTTTTGAAACTTGCTTAAACTATTTGATT